GCCCCTGAACCGCTGAACCCAAAACCCCAAAGCACCAAAACCCCCCCCTTAACCCTTAAACCCAACCGCAACCCTTACACCCCATTTCGGGACGGTGCGCTAGGGTGGATGGTGTGGTATAGCCATCCCAACCGTGTCCTCACTTTCGCGCGGAAGCCCCCCTCAACCCTCCCCGCCCACCCCCCCCTAAACCCCCCCCCCAAAGCCCTTCCCAAGCCTCAACCAAACGCCCAAACCCCAACCCCGAAACTATTGTGTACACCGGATTCGTGCACACCGATCGTTGTTGCCCGGGTTCATGCTTGAACCTTTGCAGGCGCCCAGTTATGTCCTTAACCCGCAGCTTCCTGCAGAAGCCTTCTTTCCTCTGGCGCAGCTATCACTGCACTGCTGGGCTTCAGAGCGCTGCTGCTCCCACGCAACCCCCAATTCCTTTTAAAGAAAGAATGCAGTTCAGTTGCTTCTGACACGAAGCTGTGATTGCGAACATGAAGTCCTAAGCCTCATATTTTTGTCGGGTTCAGGCGTTCTGAAGCAGTCCTACGCCTGACACCCAGGCCTGGTGCTTAGTAGCATCATGGCCTGAACAACTTCCAAATGAATCTTCCCCAAATCCCAAGCCCTTGTGGTAATCTAAAGCCCCGCAAACCCTAAACCCGAAAACCCTAAACCCGAAACCCTACTGTACACTTAATCGCGACCGAGGCAGCCCACACAAAGGTTTACAAGACTCTAAGGTCCCTTTTAGAGCATTTTAGGGTCGATTCTGTAAGGGCGCCGTACTACATAGTTGGGATCTCAAAACGGGACCCTAATTTAGAGAACTACCCATAGAAAGGCCGAAAACAACCCTCACATTAGACCCTTATCAAGGCCAAGGTTCCAGGCCCGATGAGTTGAGTCGGACGCAGCCCACAAAGTGTAGCTCCAGCTCCGCCAAGGTCTCCGGCAGGCTCTCGGCCAGCGCCTTTTTGCAGGCTTCGGTCTTAGGGGTTTAAGCATTTTAGCAGGGACCTGTCAAGTACTGCTGTCATGAGGGTTGCAAAAGGTCTGAAGGTCTCTGAGTTGAGTCTGTAGAAGGCTTTTCGGGTTCATGAGAGGTTTCGTGGAACCTACATGAGGTTTCACCACTGGCGTTGGCTTATGCTTCCGTCTGAGACCGCCGACCTTTTCGGGGTTTGGAAGGAGCAGGGTTTAGCTTTCCATGCGAACGGGTCTTGCGATCTCAGGGTCCTAAACCCAAACTCTTAAACCCATGGGCCCCTTTGGCTGAAGGCTTAAGGTTACCTTGCTCGGGGCTTTGGGCTGGGACCCCCGTCCATCGCCAAGGCGCCTTCATACCCACGTCCGTCAGATTCTCGCAGCCCACGAAGTCAAGGTACAATGTCCTGTCAGAGGTCATGCTGCAGACCCCGCACACGCAATCCTAAAGTGTGATTCCCTCTCAACTCAGCTTTCCGCTCTGAACGAACCCAGCAGGATCTATCTAGGGCGACAACTCATCTTTAGCCCGCTTTGACTTGGGTCCGGGTTCAAGGTTGGGGACCTTGGTCTAGAGTCTAGGGCTGAGGCGGCTTGGGCTTGGGGCTTGGGCTGGGGTATAGGTTTTTTGTTGGGTAGTTGGCGGTGCAGAAAGGGCTCCAGCGAGGCTCCCGTGATCACGAGTCGTTTACAAACCCCAGCCCCAGAAAATTCTTACAAAACCCTAAGACCAAACCTCCAAACCCCGTGGCCTCAAACCTTGCGAAAACTAAGACAACACCTGAGGCTAAGCTCATCCTTAGTCACGAAACCCTATGATAGGAGTCCTGAGCTTGGGGAGGTGAGACGCCAGCGCATGAAGGGAAGCATCCGTCAGCTGATAGCAACCTTGAATTTTGAATAAGGCTTCGTTTAGGGCCTAGGATGGACACTCGGCGCTTCTAGTTATAGAGGCTTTGGAGATGAAAGTTTAGGACATTGGAACAGTTGCATTATCGGAGTTCTGGGGTTTGCGACTTGAGGTTTGGAGTCAGGGTTCGGGGTGGGGTGAAAAGTGCGTGCTGGGCGAAATGTCTTGCGGTAACGTGGAATCGAGCGCATCGTACCACAGCGCAGGTTTAACGCAAGTCCTGCTGTCCGCATAGCTGTGTGAGGCGGGCTGACGTCCGTTGCCCGACATGTGCGTTGAGGATTCGGTGCGACCGATATTCAACTCCATGCATTCAAGCACACTATGTAGTCCAGTTACCGAACAGACCCGCAATGTGAAACACTGCAAAAGCTTCTGGTTGCCATTGTTCCTGCGGTGGTCAAGAGGCCGGGGTTGAGACGTACATAGACAGGCTGAAAAGAAGTTATGGAAACCTCGAAACCCCAACACCTTCTTGTAATGGCAGCGGAAGCACAGAAGCCCAAAGAAATCCTCCAAACCTTGAGCTTCGAAGAAGATCAAAAGCTAAACGATCCTGAAACCCTAAACCCAATAGCCTAAACCCTAAACCCTAAACCCTGAACTTAAATACCTTGAGCCCCGAAGCGAAGCTAAACCTCAAACGTAAAACGATCTCTTCGAAGCCGAAGAGACCTTCCACGCCCCTAAACCCCACGCGCTAAGCCGCAAGCACCAATATAAATTACCTAGACTATTTTGGGGGGCTGCTTCTTATAATATAGTCGTAGTATATTAAGAATTACCTATACTATTTTGGGGGGCTCCTTTCTATTTTGTAGTATAATATGCCCCAAAGCCTTCTTCTGATCAGGAAGGCCCCTGCATTACACCCGAAATCAAGCCGAGGGGACCTTCGAAGCTCAACTTCAAGCTGGAGATGTTGGGAGGCAGGCACTCGGCCAGGACTTTCACGCCTTCTGCTGAGGGCTTCGGGTAGTATAGGGTATAGGGTTTAGGGCTTAGGGTAGTATAGGGTCTAGGGTTTAGGGCTTAGGGCAGTATAGGGAAAAGGGTTTAGGGCTTAGGGTTGTGGATTTTTGGGGGGTTTAGGACACGCAGCTCCATACAAGGGTTCAGCCTTGAGGCGGCGGAGCCAAGAAAACTCCTCTTCTTGGCGGGATACCAGGTTTAAGGGTTCAGGGTTTAGGGGTTTTGGGTTTAGGGGTTTAGGGTTTAGGGTCAGAAAGATAACTTAGGAAAAAACACCAGCTGACGAGAAGCACAACCGCGGCGCAAAACCCCAAGACGCTGAACCCAGGCGATGCTGACAGCACCGCAAATCCGCGAAAGGATCTTGGAGATCTTTCAAAGCGCACGCCAATACAAAAAGAGCGTCTCGAAGTCTTTATGATCACACACCCAACAGAAAGCATGTTCAAGTCTGATAAACAATAGTACCTATAACTGTAGCCAGGGCCCAATATGAACAAACACCCTCAAGACCTCCGCCGGAAACCGCCTGAAACACCCAATCCCTAGAACCCTAAACCCTAAACCCGAAACCCTGAACCCAGGAACCCCTCCCCTGAACCGAAACTCCATTCCAGGAGCCTGCATCTACACAGGTCTTCTCGAAGTGCGCTAGGCTCAATTCCACAGAGTCCCTCGTAACATCCGACTGCAAAGCTCCTGCCCAAGGGCTTCGCGGGATGCCGTAACGGACTTTCGAGGTTTCGGCTTTGGGGTCAGGGCGCGGCTTCCGTTCTCGGGTTTGGGGACTGGGCTTCGGGTGTAAGTGCAGGGTTTCGGATACAGGTGTTGGGTTCACGGCAGATTGACGGGCTTCCAGGGTTGCTGCAAACAAAAGACGGCCTTTCGGACGCGCTAAGCTTGGGTTAAGTCAGCAAGCTGTTTTGCGTCAGTAGAACACCGACAACAGGGAAGAGTGGGCCAAGGATCTAGCGCAGGACCGGATGGCACATGGAGTGCAATCCGTTCGAATCCGCAAATCCTATTGATGATCCCTGCGGTCGCTGGGCCATGTTGACTCGCCTGAGGCTTCTGTAGCTGCGGCCAGTTTCGCAGGGCTGCGGACGGCTTGCAGACCTGCTTGACCGCGCCGAGCGCACCCCCGCTTCCGTGTGGTCAGGGCAGGCTTCCGCGCAGCGTGCCCGACGACTGTTATCTGGACCTGAAAACCGAAACTGTAAACCTCAAAACCCTGTTGAGAGCTGAAGTGTGGAGGATTAGGGTTTGGGGTATCGGGCTGATGGCCTTTACCCACCTGGTCACGGCCTGTTGAAACACATCTTGCACCGGGAAGACATTCACCGGTCGTGCCAGAAACCGATCACGCGGCGTCCCGACATCGCCCAGAAAAAAGCTTCAACCCTCTTGAACCCCCCCAAAGGCCCAAGCCCAACAACAACCAATGTCAATGCCCCTGAAAGCCCTAAACCCTAAAGCTCCAAGCCCGAAGGCTCCAAAGCCTAAAACACCTGAAAGAAAGCCCGGCTGCGCCTTCGACGTCGAGCCTGTCGTCTCCTTTCCCATATTTCAGCTGGTCTCGATTCATCGCCTGGTTCGGGGATTCAAAAACTCCAACCCTAAACCTCAAAAGGGCCAAACCTCAAACCCCAAACCTAAACCCCTGCGCCCCCAAGCCTGAGCAGTGCGACTGCCGAGAAAAAACGCCGACTCTAAACCCTGAACACTTCTAGACCTAATCCCTACCACCCCAATCCGAGACGTTAAACCCCTAGTCCCAAGTCCGAAACCCCTTGCATACGGGCCTTAATAGAACAAGACTTTGGTGCATGTCCGACTATATAACATATAGTTTTTCAAGAAGTTTAGGATTCGTCTCGGTGCTCGTTTCGGAGGTTCTGGCTACCCCGCCCCGAGGGATCATGGGTGTTTGGGCTTTGGGCTTCAAGGGTTTAGGGTTTACTCCCTAGGGTTTAGGGTGTGGGTTGAGGGCTCCGGGTTTAGGGCTTGGGGTTTGTACTTCAAGAGCCCCGAAAATCAAATGTGTGTTTCGACCTTAAGGTGGTCGGGAAGGCTTGGGATAACCGGATTTATTCTTGGATTGCGGATACAAGGTTGACGGTGTAGGGCTTCAGGTGGTCTGAATATACCACAGAGAGAGTTTCGGGCTCCCTGATCCCTAAGATCAGTGTGCCTGTGGCCATGCCAGGATGGCAAGTGTCGAGTGCAGGGTCATGTTGGCCCGCAGTTCGTTCGGCACGTGCGGCTTCCTGGGCACGGCTTCAGAAATCGACGCACAATCACCTTTTCAACCTTGTCTACCTAGATAGGGATCGATCAGGGCTTTCGCGCAAGTCTTTCGTGGTTAGTAGCCTGAACCCAAGACCCGTAGCAGGGTCTCTTGGCTGCAAAATTCAACATGAGAACTTCGAACATTCCAATTTAGCGCTTCAAATCAAGCCTTGCAGGGTTAAGGATTGGACTTCGGCCTCAGGGTGAACATTTCTGGACTGTCGCGCTCCGGGAACAAAGAGACGGTCTAGGGTTGCGAGATGCCTCAATAAGCTCTACACCATCAACCGCAACGGAAAGGAAAAGGGCGTTGCTGGGAAGCGACTTCCGATTCAGAGTAGACGGTCTTGAGTCTTGTGGTTCTGGTTGTCACATTCAATACCACTAACCGTTGTGTCAACAACTACCATCGCTGAATTCGGACTGCACAAACGCGAAAACACTAGGACTAGTAAACACCATGGGCAACATCGTCGCCTTCGCCACTTTTTGATTACAAGCACTATGATTGCCATACTCATCACATATGTCTTGAACCCTTACGCGCAGCCCTATACCTGGAAACCAAAGGTACAAGCGTTACTCAAAACCCGTCGCGGCATGCCAGGTTCGGATTCAGGCCAACCTCAAAACCTAAACCCTACATGTAGGGTTTAGGGTTCAGGTTTTGGCTAGCCTGTTAGGCGTCTTGCGTTCCGAGAACTTCAAGACAGCTTTGTGGCGTGGTTCCAAATCAGTGTTCCCTCCAAACCACATCATGGACTTATGGTAACCCCCAGGGCCAACATTCAAAACATAGAGCCCCCCCCTACACTTACAAGCCCCAGCTTCCTCTGCGCGGAAAAAAAACTGAAACCCCCAAGGCCCCCTAGACCCTATCCCTTAAAGCCCAACGGCTTTAAAAAGAAAAACTAAACCCTACACCCCAAAAGAAACCCTCTGGGGCCCAGGAATCCCAGGGCCGGGTTCGAACTTTTCCGCGGCGATAGCTTTCAGGATCGCCTTTTTGTCCTGCTCCTGCGGCTTCTGCGAGGGCACGCGGTTGGTTTTGGGTTTCGGTTTGACCATCGGGTTTAGTCGGCCTCCCAACCCGAGACTGCAGAGGTTTAGGGTTTGGAGTGCTTTCAAACTATGTATCCGCGGTGCAGGTCGTGGCCGCCCGGAGATGACTCACTCGGTGAAAGCTTAGACTAGGTCCCCAACAGCTAGATAACTTCTCGCACCCTTAGGGACTGGCCACGGTACATCCTTGACGTACACAAGCAGCGAAGGGGTCGAAGGGACACCGGCGAGCTGGAGAATGGAGGCTCTGGTGGTCACAGCTGGTGCCCTGCCCAGTGTGCCGCTGAATGCTCATGATGCTTCGTCTGACTGTGGCCACTGACACTGCCGTCATCGCGCGGCGTGTGCAGCTGATGCTCATAATGCTTGGTCTGGCTGTCGACACTGGCGATGCCGTGGTCGAGCAGCCTGCGGCTGATGCTCATGATGCTTGGTCTGGCTGTCGACACTGGCAATTCCGTGATCGAGTGGCCTGCAGCTGATGCTTACGATGACTGGTCTGGGCAATGCCGTGGCCGAGCGGCCTGCCGCTGATGCTCATGATGCTTGGTCTAGCTGTCGACACTGGCAATGCCGTGGTCGAGCAGCCTGTCGCTGATGCTCATGATGCTTGGTCTGGCTGTCGACACTGGCAATACCGTGGCCAAGCCTTCTGCGGCTGATGCTCATGATGCTTGGTCTGGCCGTGGAAGCTGGCAATGCCGTGATTGAGTGGCCTGCAGCTGATGCTCACGATGACTGCTCTGGGCAATGCCGTGGCCGAGCGGCCTGCCGCTGATGCTCATAATGCTTGGTCTGGCTGTCGACACTGGCAATGCCGTGGCCAAGCCTTCTGCGGCTGATGCTCGTGATGCTTGGTCTGGCCGTGGAAGCTGGCAATGCCGTGATCGAGTGGCCTGCAGCTGATGCTCACGATGACTGCTCTGGGCAATGCCGTGGCCGAGCGGCCTGCCACTGATGCTCATGATGCTTGGTCTGGCTGTCGACACTGGCAATGCCGTGGCCAAGCCTTCTGCGGCTGATGCTCATGATGCTTGGTCTGGCTGTGGACACTGGCAATTCCGTGATCGAGTGGCCTGCAGCTGATGCTCACGATGACTGGTCTGGGCAATGCCGTGGCCGAGTGGCCTGCCGCTCAACCCAGACCTTTCTAACAGCGCGGTTTCTAGGGTGCCAGAAGACCCGACGTTCTACTGGTAGGTTAAGAACAAAAACGGGCCCTCGCATAAAACACAAACAGCGTGCACAAATTAGCTGTGCCACACCTGGGTGACAAGAAGCAAAAGCCCAAAATGCATCAAAGTGTTCACCATTCAACATTCCTGTCCCCGACATGGCCCTGAGGTTGGTTGGCTTTTTGGGTTAGGATCTCCTTATAAAGAAATAGGTATTCTCAACGTTCCCTCCTGTGACAGGACCTTGTGGCCAGGCCAGAGCCACTGTGCTTCCACGAAAAGCCCGGGATCAGGTTTCGGGGCCTTTCAGGGTTTTGAGCTTCGGGCATTGGGCCTTGATAACTAGAATAGGGTTTGGGGGTCCATTGCTATAACTATATAACAAGCAACCCCCCAAAAAAAGAAACTATTCTAATGCAGAAAGGTAGAAGGATTCAGATGTAGATCCTGTGCAGTCCGAGGCCTCTTGACAACCATGTTATTTTATGCAACGTTCATGGCTCAAGGGCCGGAAACAACAGCATATGTACAATCGAGACGACCTTGGCCTAGAGTAAAATAAACAAATACATTGCCTCCTCGCAGCATGGTTGAGCGCCACAACTCTGTGGCATAAGACTTTACTGACTGCGGTTGGGGTTCCAGCTACGAAATTCGATATCCCAAGTTCTACATCTAATTATTAATACGGCTCCTGTATTAGAGTCATTTAAGGCTTTGGTAAGGCTTTGAGTGAGGCTTCTGGGTTTTAAGGCTTGGGAACCCCCCGGACTCTACTACTTGCAAGCCTGGGGATGAATCTGCAACGGAGATGCCAGGGACAGAGACACTGCTTTAGATTCGGGCCTCATAGACTCTGCATACTTCTAGTGCACAGCAACCCAGACCTGAACCCTGAATGCTGATTCATCATGGAGTGACGCAGAATGCACAGAGCAGCCCTAAACCCTAAACCCACCCCTCGCGGACAGAGATCCTGGGTCGCCATGCCGTTTTCCAGCATGACCTCCAGTCCATGTGCCTCAAGGGTTTAGGGTTTAGGGTTTGCTAATTATTGGGGCTTAAGATACAAATGCCATGCTCTCGCTGAATTTTCAGACCCATTTGCTAAAGGGCCGTGGTACCAGGCGGGGGACCTCTGAGGGCCCCCACGTCTTGGCGCCACTCTCGTTTCAGAGGTTTGCTACGGGGTTTGCCTACTGCAAGTAACAAACTGGCTACGGCCCCTCTTTAAAGAAAAAAGCTTGCTCCAAACAGCCACAGAGCTAGCAGGTTGATGGGGAAATTCTGCTCCCTGACCGACTTGGCCACTGCTGATTCCTTGCTTCTCCACTGCCAAACGATCCCATAAGGACAAAACTACCCCAGTAGAATCCAGTAAAGAACATGTAAAACCCTGGCAATAAACCATGATGAATTGGAGAAGCCAGGCTCGCCCGGGACCAGGTCCTTGCTCAACAAGCGCGTCTCTGCTTCCTTCCTGGGATCTGGAGTGTCAGCAGCAGATGCGCCAAGGACCGGTATGCTAGTATAGGGGCAGTTCCCTTATTCAGGGTCCCCTTTAAGGTCCGTTTTAGAAGGGTGCCGTACTACTTTGTGGACCTAAAAAGGGACCCTACATTTAGAAAACTACCCATATTGTTGAAACGTCTCAAACAACGGTGCAACGTTCAGAGCCCGGGCTCCCCTGTCCGGTCGGAATGGTAGTAACGATGTCAAGCCCCATGTCACGACTCATGATGGCCGTGTACAGCTCGAAGTCACACCAAATCCTCGAGAAAGGCGTGGCCTTTGGGTCCAAGATCAGGAGTAGACCCTTCGCCTCACGAAGCGCCGCGTTGAAGGATGTGGACGTAACATCGACTGAGATCTCTTGATCGAGTTCGTGCTGGCGATTGGCATAGCCACACCTTCGGCTGCGTGTTTCTACCAAGCTCTAGCTTTTGTTGAGCATCCTTAAACCCGATAGCTTGCATTGCAGGCGGGTCTAACCGAAAAAAACAATAGAGCATTTGGCTGCAAAGCCACACCCAGTACCGTGCATCCGCCACAAGGTGCCGAACTTCTGCATGGCGCCGGCAACCAGCAACGAAGTCGAAGATCGACTCTCCCCACCAGTGACTGCAATACCATACTGGCACGCATGGCTGTGTAGACAAGAGCTCCTTGTAGCTCGTAGAGACCCCATTGCACGTGACTTTCCTTACGTCCCCAATAGTCAATGGAATGAAAGGTTAAACTGCCAAGGACCCTATCATGTTTAAGAATCCGAAGAACCCAAGACATCCCCCTAAACCCCAAACCCTATACCCTAAACCCGAAACCGGGCATTGAAGAGACAAGCTTCTCAGGGGCTGGGGCCCAGTCGCCACCCTCCATGCCAAGACGCAGCGGCGGAGCTTTTGGCCCAGCCAGGAACCGTCCACGCTTCCTGGGTTCTAACAGTTTCGGGTTTCGGTTTCTGGCTGGGCGGAATCACGTTTTGGTTCTGGGTTTCGGGTGCAGCTTCCAGAGCCGAGTCTCAGCTCCACAAGAAGGTCCAAGCATGGGCTTCCATCGCTCCGGTTCTCTCGGACCTGGCGGATGATGGCAATCGCTCTGGGCAGCGAAGCGTCCTCTGACACCTGCGGGTCGTTAGGCTTAGGAGAGGCATCCACCAGAAAATGACAGGGATTTGAGTGTTTCTCTGGTTGTCATAGGAGCTTTGGGGATTGGGGTTGTGTTGTGTGGTCAGGAACTATCAAAAGTACGTACAGAGAATCTAGGGCCGGGCGGGATTTATTGTTTGATTCGTGTACGGCACCTGCAACAGCTGCTGGCCGACAGCAGGAGCCGAGCGAGGATCGGTGCCCAGACGGAGCCAGAGCCCTTGAGGAGGCGACGTCTGCGGAAGGATGTAGTGATAGGCCTCGGATTTCGGAACACCGAGCTTGGGTTCAGGGTTGGTCGGGTTTCAGGTTTCGGGGTAGAGGCTTTTGGGGTTTAGGGCAGCGTTCAGGCTTGGTCTATGTGACATACTCTCCTCACGTGTGATACGATTTGGGGCTTGAGCTTTGCGTTGGAGCTGAAATAATTTTTTGGAACCAGGGTTGCGTGCCAGGGTTTCGAGTCCGTCGCTCTTGACTTTTTGAGGTTGGGGGGGAGCCTATGCCTTGCAGCATGGTTGTCCGTCAGCAGCCGAGGCGCGAAGTCGTACCTGGGCGATCCGTGCGGGCAGACATCCGAAGCCTGAAAGCATACATCGAAAGCACACCTTCAACCCCGCCGAACACCCTCCCTGTCAGGTTAAGGTTTTAAGGCTTGGGGTCAGGCTTGTTGCTTTCCAAGCCTTGACAGGTGTCGGGCATGGCCTTGTCGGAAGTGACGAGCTAGCACCAGCCCGCTCTTTTCGAAAAACTCTCCGCACGGAGTCTAAGGGTCAAACCTAGAACTCCCAACCCCGAAGCCGACACCCTAAACCCCAAACCCTTTCTGCGCAGGTGCAGGTTCAACTTCTCCGGCACCAGATGGTGGCCAAAGCGCTCACTCCTCCAGAGGAATCTACCGCTGTAGGTTTCAAGGGTCTGGCTTATGGCAAAGTGAGGTTTAGGCTTAGGGGGTCGGGGTCACGGTGTCGTGAAGGTTTAGTGAGTTTGTCACAATAGGGGTGAAAACAAGGGACCCAAATCTAGACCCTAAATGACCCTAAACGGCGGGATCCTCAAGAAATCCCCAGATGAAGTACACCAAGTATAAAGCTCTTCATCACCAACCCTTAACAAACACTTCTAACAAACCCTCGAAACACCCCGATATCACACTGTATTGGAGAAGCCTGATGACACCCTACCCGTATCTAACTTTGACGTGGACGTGCCAGGGCCAAGTCTAACATTAGCGCAAGGGGCGCGCATGGGACGGTACAAGGGGTACGCTTGACACGATATAAAGGGTACTAGTACAGGGCGACATGTACCACATGTAGTATGCCAAGCACGACGTGCATGACAGGTGCACCACAGTGCCACTGTAATGTACCACATGCGATCGTGCCGCTCTGGCCGTGCCAGTGTACCGTCCGAAACTTAGCCTGACATGACCCCCATTTTTTCAAATGCTAAACCATGTTATGTCACACTCATTGTAGTACGCTACATTGGGACGGTATGATGGTACACAAGGTATAGCGCGCATCGACGCCCGTGTTACCATCAATGCACCCATTATGTACCTTGGGCGTGTCCAACGTGTACCGCGAAACCCCCCCCCCCCC